ATTTCTTAATTGAAGACAGAGTGGTACTCACCTGTTGGGGCATTCTATAAATTTGGAGACTTTTTTTTAATCTTCTGTTAATATCCCTGAGAATTTATATATTAAAATAAGGTTTTTTATTATTTTGAATTAATCTTATTTTGGAATTCCTTTATATTACTAGTATTTTTTTTTAAGTTTGTGTATAGGTAGATCATCTCTGTTTATAAATTGATACTGCAAAATACCTGTTATAAGAAAATCATTCGGGCTTTGATAAAGTTTAGAAATACTGATCTGTGCTTTAAACTTAGGTGCCTTGATATTTGGAAATAATGATACTATAATCAAGTATCAGATTGAGTGATAGATATTGCTGATGATGTAGGAAATTAAAAAAAATTGTGAGCTTGATAGTCATGCAGTCTCTGATGGGGGAAAGGAGTATTAGAGAGCCTCTTGGTTATTGAAGACTAGGCACTATGACAGGCACTTGTCATATATAATCTTGAAGAAAGGAATGACCAGACTCATGAGAGAGACTGAGAATGGAATTTCTAAATAGGGTAAATCATATAATTTAAAATTGGGAGGGCCCTAGGAAAATGTCTCGGCCAGAAATTCTTAGTTCAGGATTTATGTCATCCTTTGGGGTTAGTAGATGGATTTCAAGAAACTCATGAATCCTCTGAAATTGTGTAATGCCATTTTGTCTATCTTTTTGAAGGGAATTGGATTCATAGTTCTCACTGGATTCTCAAAGGTCCCATCACCTCTAAGAGGTTAAAATCTACTGATCTAATCTCATCTCAGCCTCAGACAGATGTTTGTCCCAAGGCCACAAAACCTTAAGTGACAGATGAGGACTGAAACCCAATGACTTCTATTAATAGTTTTTGGCTCACTTCACCACTCTCATCAGAGGACATCAACAAAGGCACAGACAGGATTAAGTTACTATATGTAGTAATGGGTATAAAACCAAACAACTAGCATGAAGTCAGTTGCATTAAGTCTATTGGTCTGTTTCCACAAGTGCTGCTGTGGAAGTGAGTTTCAGTTTGTCTCTTCAAAGTGAACAAATATTTCAGTTTTTAAAGGTGAAATATGCTGCCACTCACCTCAGCTAAAAGTAAACTCTCAGAGAGATTATAAATTGAGCATCCCTAATCTAAAAATCTCAGATGCTCTAAAATCTGAAACTTTTTGAGGGCCAACATCACACTACAAGTGGAAAGGTTCTCACCTGACTTCATGTGATGGTTTGAAGTCAAATGCCACAATACAAAAATATGTATAAAACTAAAACTACCTTCAGGTTATGTATGTAAGGTGCCTATGAAAGATAATAAATTTCATGTTTAGACTTGGTTCTCATCCCCAAGATATCTCATTATATATATGTGAATGTTCAAAAATTTGAAAAGCATCCAAAAAATGGGAGCACTTCTGGTTCCAGGGCATTTTGGATAAGGGATACTCACCCTGGACATGCCTGAAGTTGTTTCTCCAGTTCCTAAGAGCACTGTTTTTCTGACCTGTAGTGACCCCCAGTTTTCTGACTAATTTGTCAAAATTACTTTGCTTGATTTGTCAGATCCTGTATTATCACAACCTGTTTAGCCAACATGTATCCTATGTCCCACTAGGCCAGTGCCCTTGTTATGGGTATTCTCTACATGTGATTCGCCGGTGCAGAATCCTATCCATTCTTCTTCCATTTCCAGATGTCCAACATAGATCCAATTTAAATCTGATCTCCACAAAATGTTTCCTAGTTACTCTTACCTATTTTTCACTTCCTCTGAACTACTCTTGCATTTATTACTCATACAGCACACCATAGAACTTAGTTATTTATTACTCACTACTTTTCAGTGGAAATGCTTATTGGTCATCTTGGGACTAGAGTTCTAGGAAGTCCAGGGTGGGACTCTGGACATTCCTCAACCCTGTTTCAACCAGAGCAGTTCCACTTAGTGTTATATATGGGTTATTTGTGTGAGTTGTTATTTGGAGAAATAGTTTAGCTGTTCCCTTGTCCCCAGTCCTAACTCCAAAAGTTTGAAAAACACTAGCTCTATCTTGTGTGCTAATTGTCTCATAATTGTTACTCCCTATAATGGACAAGGGCCAGGACTTACTACTATTTTCAGGCAACTGGTGCAATTTTGAGCACAAAGTCAGCACTTACAAAATGGTTTTACAATTGTATTGCTCCTATTTTGAGAATAGAAGATAATAAATAGCATTACCTCACAAGCTTACCTTAATGAAGAGCTCAGAATAATACTTCTGGATTGATCTTTGAAAGTAAACCTAAATTGGTGCATCCCCTTCCTCCAGCTTTTAGACACCAGACCTAATTCTATTCAAAGCTGTCTCGCTTACATTTATGTATATTCAAGAGAAACCTCATTATTGACATATTCTGCTCTCCCGAAGTTTGGCCAAACTTAAATCTATTGGTGCATTTGTGTAAGCAGGAAAATAATTATACTGACTTACAGAATGATGATACACCTAAAAAACTAGGAAAACATAAATTCAAAAGTAGGTGCACTAAAACATATTTATGTCAATAATGATTACAACTGAAAAATGTCTTTCAGACCAGTTATTTCAGCTTTCTGTATCAAATCAATCATATGAACTAATATGGACTTGGGTGTTTAAATCAATTGTGCTATCAACTTGTTAATGCTCTTTTGTTTTTGTTTTTGTTTTTGTTTTCCTGCTCTCTGCCTGGTTCATTGTCTTCACCTGCAGGTGTACTTTATTGTCGGCTTCCAAAGATTACTAACTTTTATCTTTATCACTAAAATTGAACTGCCTTGGCTATACTGCTACTCTTACTGCTGCTTCCATTATTGCCTTCTTCTGCAAAATAGGCTTTCAGAAGCCAAAGAATAACAAGACATAAGCACCATTTTAGAAGCCTTTCCACTATGAAACTTAAGCTAAATGTGCTCACCATTGTTTTGCTACCTGTCCACTTGTTAATAACAATATACAGTGCCCTTATATTTATTCCATGGTATTTTCTTACCAATGCTAAGAAGAAAAACGCTATGGCAAAGAGAATAAAAGCTAAGCCCACTTCAGACAAACCTGGAAGTCCATATCGCTCTGTCACGCACTTCGACTCACTAGCTGTCATAGACATCCCTGGAGCAGACACTCTGGATAAATTATTTTTCCATGCTGTATCCAAGTTTGGAAAGAAGGACAGCCTTGGGACCAGGGAAATCCTAAGTGAAGAAAATGAAATGCAGCCAAATGGAAAGGTTTTTAAGAAGGTAAAGCATTTTTGTGCTTTTTAATTTTTTTTTAAATAAGATGGTACATTTTGCATTACCAGAAATTGAATGCATTTAAAATTTGCTGGTATTCTGTGATAGTACTGTGTAACTAATTCCCAGAAGCTTCTGGATATTCACATAAGGGTATTTTTAGAGTTCTGTCCTTGAAATAGTATTTTAATTGCTTGTTTGAATAAACATATTAATATTAGAGAATGCCTTGCTTTAACAGTTAATTCTTGGGAATTACAAATGGATGAACTATCTTGAAGTGAACTGTCGAGTGAATAACTTTGGTAGTGGACTTACTGCATTGGGACTAAAACCAAAGAACACCATTGCCATTTTCTGTGAGACCAGGGCTGAATGGATGATAGCAGCACAGACATGCTTTAAGTACAACTTTCCTCGTAAGTACCTTGTGCTTTTGGATGGGGGAGAGAGAGGGCTTTGCTTACATGCGAAAATTGTTCTGATATATTCCTGTGTTCAAAGTAGGTGTTTTTTAGCCATTTTTCTGTATAAATTATGTTTATAAAACAGTATGTAATATTGTGGTTAAAATATATCTAATAGCTCTTCTTAGAAATAGCTTGTAAGAACTGACAGCTTAATGAATATGATTTAGAATTTTACTTTTCAATTGGAAATGAGTTATATTAATACCTGAAGAGGTGGCATGGTGGTTAAGGCATTGGACTCTTACATGAGTGACTGCACTTTGATTTCCGAACCTGGCAGCTTGCTTTCTCACTTTCCCTCTCTCTGGTGAGCACATGTGTCCTATAGCAAATTAACATCATCATCATCCTCATCCTCATAAATAACATTAAGTAAATAGTTCTTTAATAAAGTACCAGGAAGATCTAGAGCTTTGGGAGTACTTTTTGGAGTTTATATACAAACTAATGATTAAAACAATAAAAAATAGTCCTTAGGATAATCTAGTTCCTTGTTTCATTTTGAGGTCTCATATTTGACTTATTCCATTTTATGTATGAAATGACAGCTTGATTGAATTGGCATTAGATATGTTGGAAAGAAAGTAAATTGGGTGTATTTCTGATTCTTAAGCTTTTGTTTTGCTATTGTGTAATAAATAATTTTAAAAGTTTACTTCCTTCATATGAAAGAAACACAAAGACAGAAAGATACTCTCACCATGCTGTGATCCCTCGTTTCAGCCAGCTGGATCATGGGTACACCTGTGGGCATGCCCAACGTGTTCAGTTTGACCTGGGATCTAAGCCCCAGTGCCTTCCATGTGGCCCTGTATTACATAGCAGCACCCTACTGCCTGTGCCACTGTGGATAGGCCAGCAAGAAATCGTTTTTAAAAATTGAGTCCAGTATAATGACATGTTACATAGTAAGTGCTCAGTTGTTTGTTGAATGAAATAGAATACTATACTTTTAGTGTATGAATTAAAAGTGTGCATCTGAAACAAACAATAATAGACGATGTGAAAAGGATCCCTTATGTTCTTATCACCCTTCAATAATTAAGAGTTTTATCAGAGGTTGGCAGGTAGCAGGGTGGTTGTGGTGCTGGACTCCCACATGGCCAACGATGTTTTGAGTCCCAGACCTGGCAGTCTACTTTCTCATTCTCCCTTTCTCTCTCTTTCTCTGTCTCTCTCTCTAGTCAAATCGAAGAACAAAAACAAATAAATAATTACTTTTTAAAAAATGTTTACAGGGCTGGCAGGTGGCGTGGTGGGTAAGAGCACTGGACTCCCACATGGTGAACAATGATTTGAGTCCTGGACCTGGAGGATTGCTTTCTTACTTTCCCTCTCTCTCTCTGGAAATATTAAAAACAAAATCAAGGGAACCAGCAGTTAGCGTAATGGCTATGTCGCTGGACTCCCACGTAGTCGACCGCGGTTCGTGTCCCGGACCCGGTGGCTTAAAACTCACGCCGGGCGCGTGTGCGTGTGTGCCCAAGATCCCGAGAGGAGAATGGAGGAGAAGGGATTGCGGCGTGACCATCCCCCCTGGGGGGTGATTTCTCGCTTTCTGTCTCTATGTCTCTCTCTGTCTGTCTGGCGAGCGCACGCGCCCTATAGCAAAAATCTCTCAAAAAAAAATCAAATAAATAAAGTTAAACATTAAAAAAATAGAGTTTATGAAAAGTGGCTTTTTTTTTTTTTACTTTGAGAGGGGTAAGGAGAGAGAGAAGAGGGGAGGGAGGAAACTATGTTTTGGACATGGTCTTACCACAGTCTACCTGCCCTAGCCTCCCAGTCAGCTAGTACCACAGATATGCTCCACTGTGCTCAGCCTGTTCAGGTTGAGCTGGAAATCAAACCTGGGCCTCCCATGCAGCCCCAGTCAGCTCCAGTGCCCTTCCACTTACCTAGGGCTGGGCTAAAAGTGTGTATTTTTTTTTTATCAGGTTGCTGTTTCTGGTTACCAACCTTGAGCTAAATTTTCCAAGATCTAAGTTTAGCAGATGTCCTTTAATTCTAACTGATCTTGGTTTTAGCTTTTGTTATCTTTGGTGGCTCCTCTAATCAGAGTATGGAGGTCACCAATCAGATTAGACACTAAACTTACTACACAAGCTTCATGAAGGAGTGAGAACATTATTTGTGGCAAGCCTTCCAATTTGAGATCTTCATATTTTCAAGTTCTTAGCCATTTGTTGTAGCAAAGAAAGTCTGTGCACAAGAGAACTCCAGCTGGGCTAGCTCTGATCTGAATTAAGAATTTAACCAGGACCTACTGACTTTGAGTATTTTAATTGGCGGACTGCTGACCAGTTGTGACACTGCCAGTATTTCTGGGTTTCTTTAGGTTTAGAAAGTTAGAGTTCTGGAATTTTGTAAGGAAACTCTGGGCTACTAGAGAGTTTGAGGCATGGTAACAGGGTAATAGCAGACTACAAAATTAAATTAACTTATAAAATGACTTTGTGTTTGTGAGTGTTCCTATGATGAAGGATAAATTGAATATCTTTAGAATGTTTATCATTTAATATTTGTGTGTGTTTTTTATTATGTAGTTGTGACTTTATATGCCACACTTGGCAAAGAAGCAGTAGTTCATGGGCTAAATGAATCTGAGGCTTCCTATCTGATTACTAGTGTTGAACTTCTCGAAAGCAAACTTAAGGTAAATATGAAATGTTCTTATTATTCATGATAGTGTTTTAAGGAAGGACAGGAAAATGTTCAATAAGTGAGGTTTTTTTCAGGCCCAAATCTAATACCTGGTTTTCCTTTCTACTCAACAGACTGCATTGGTAGAAATCAGTTGTGTTAAACACATTATTTACGTGGATAATAAGACTATCAATAAAGCAGAGTACCCTGAAGGATTCGAGATTCATAGTATGCAGTCAGTAGAAGAGCTGGGATCTAAGCCAGAAAACTGTGAGTAAAGCAGTTAAATTGAATTCATTAATCTATTCAAGATTTGCCATATCAATAGGTTAGGAAAAGAAGAGATATGAGTAAAAATACCAAAATGCTTTTATTTGAAAAGTTTTAACATGGGGACCAGCAGATAGTGTAGTGTTTACACTGCTGGACTCCCACAAGGATGACTTTGGTTCGGGCCCCAGACCCAGTGGCTTTAAAATCATGCTAGGTATGTATGTGTGTGTATGTTAAATATCCTAAGAAAAGAATGGAGGAAAAGGGATTGTGGCATGGCCATCCCTCCGGTGGGTTATTTCTCACTTTCCCTCTTACTGCGTCTCTCTCTCTCCATTTGAGCACATGCACCCTAAGGCAAAAACCTCTTAAAAAAAGTTTTAACATGTTGAAAACTGTCAAGACTATGTATGATTAGGGTTTTCTTCCCTTTCTCCTCAACAAGATTACTACTGTTTAAAATTTACTAAATAGTTGAGGTATACTCTATGGTTCAGACTTTAGACATTTATTAACAAATGTAAAATATATATGTATCTTACTGTAACCTTCCATTTTGGACTTCATAAAAGGAAAAGTTCTCAGGTCTTCCATTCAGTAAACATTTTTTAAATGGTTAATGCTAGTGATGCTGTTATGATGCCTCCTCAGGAGATGCAAAGCCATTTAGCAAGATTAATGCTTGGATTTATTCTACCTCTGAGATGGTTATTGATATTTCACATGAAACAAGTAAATGCACAATGTAGCAAAATGTCAAATGGTCTTTAGGAGAGAGAGTTGAGAATATTAATTCTCTATTTGAATAGTTTTCTTGTTTAATGTGAAGGTTACAATGCCTTCTAGATGAGACAAGGCTCCATTTTTGTCAGGAGAAAATGTCAGTTGAACCTCTGCTCAGCTTCTGAATAGTTCACGGTTAGGGAATGACTGTGTACTTACAATAACAGATATAGATTATAGCTTTTGACCTTGTGTTAAGAATGGCAGAGTCTGAGTTTTTATCCACTTGCAAGCGAACCTACCAAAGTTCATAGAGACACAAGGCTCCTGGTTCAGAAATGAAGAACAGTTTTTACTCAGAGCAGAGTATCAGATCAGCATTTATGTTGAGAGAGAAAGGCTGAACTTAAGGAACTTGAAGATTTTATTATCTTTATTGTATTGGGCAAGTAAGGATACCTGCTGTTTGCAGGAGAGAGATGTTATATCTATCTTCAAAAGCTATTTACTGGGCAGACTTCCTTGAAAAGGTAGTCTGGATCAAAGTTGGTGCCTCTGCTTGCATATGTAATGGAAACACAAGAGGCCTGTGGAGAATTGTCTCTCAAAACCAGGTTGATCCTGTGAACAGGGAAGTCCTGATTGGTAGAGTTCTGTTGCCAGTTCTGCTGATTAACCAGAAATGTTAGTCTAAAACTAAGGGGGTATCAGTCCTCATGTTTTTGTGTGAACAATAATATTATGGAGCATGTACCCTGTTTACCTCCACTCAATAGATAAATGAATAAGATATGTATATTTTTGTACTACATTACTGGAGTATACAATAATTTGTATTTTTTTAAAAAATTTTGCCAGAGATTGTGTGAGCTTGCTGGAGAGAGAGAGATACAGAGAAATGGAGAGAAAGTGAAAAAGCATACCTTCCCATGGCAGATGGTCATGCCACAATCCCTTCTCCTCTATTTCTCCTTTTGGGAATTTGGACATGCATACACCTGTGCCCAAGCTGTTGGGTCTAGGATTTGAACCATGCAGTCAGCCACGTGGAATCCAGCACCTTAACCACCATATCACTACCTGGCCTGACCATCATTTTAATGATGATACTTTTTACATATTTATTTAAAAATGGGAAGAAATGAAGTGTCACATTATGTACTTAGACTGAGAACTTAAGATATGTCCTATTTCTGCTTTATTTAATCATTAGAGGAGATATGCAGTAAATATTTGCTTGGTTTATAAGCAATGAGAGTGGATATCTTTAAGAAGCATTAGAATTAGCCAGTTTAGGGACCAGCAGTTAGTGTAATGGCTATGTCGTTGGACTCCCATGTAGTCGACCATGGTTCAAGTCCCGGACCGGTTCCTTAAACTCACGACGGGCGTGTTTGCATGCATGCCCAAGATCCCAAGAGGAGAATGGAGGAGAAGGGATTGCAGCGTGGCCATCTCCCCCAGGGGGTGATTTCTCTCTTTCTGTCTCTCTGTCACGCTCTGTCTTTCTGGTGAGTGCACGTGTGCTATAGCAAAAACCTCTTAAAAAAAAGAGTTAGTCAGTTTAAATATAATTTTATTGGGCCAGTGGTAGTGTGGTGGTTAAGGGCTGGATTCCTAATGGCAACAGCATGGTTTGAGTCCTGAACCCTGTGGCTTGAAAATCACATTGGGCACATGTGCATACAAATCCTAAGAGGAGAATAAATGAGAAGAGGTTGTGGCCTGGTCATTTTCATGGGGGCGAATTGTCACTTTCTCTTTCTCTCTCTCTCATGAGTGCATGCCAACCTATGGCAAATTTTTTTAAAAAAAGTATAAGTTTATCTTTGGTTGTTTTAGTGATATATATTATTGTTGAGATTTTTTTTTTTTAAAGACACAGTCTTACTATGTTACCATCCTTCTCTCTCGGCCTCCCAGCTGGGACTACAGGTGTGTGCCATGATGCCCAACTCTTTTAGTCAGGGTCTTGCTATTTGCCCACGCTGGCCTTCAAGTTGACATCTGTAGCATCCCAAATCATTGGGATCACAGGCATCTGTGATGGTGCCAGGCCTTAAGATTAGATTGGGAAGTGAACCCAGGTCTCTAATATGGTTCCAGACTGCAGAGCATAGTATCTTAGCAGCACATACCACCATCAATGGGCCAATTTTTTTTTCTTTTAACTGGCACATAAAAATGTAAATCATGGTCTAGTCCAAATGGCACGATTGGTAGTGTATTAGAATACAGTGCTAGAAGCCACATGGCTGACCAGACTGGTCAACCTGGAACACTCTGGGCTTGTGCATGTGTGCCCAAGATCCTGACAAGCTGGAGGACTGGAGGAAGGGAATTATGGCATGACAAAACCCTGTCAAGGGTGCTTCTCTCCCTCTGCTCCGACCTCGTGCATGCATGTGTGTGTACACATTCCCCATCATTAGAAAAAAATAAGTAACGCCTAAGAGAATGTGATTTTTTTTTCTTTTCTAAGTTTTTGCTGTAGGGCATGTGTGGTCACCATAAAGAGACAGAGAGAAAGTGAGAAATCACTGCCCAGGAGTGATAGCCATGCTGCAATCCTTTCTCCTCCATTTTCCTCCCAGGATTTTGGGCATGCGTGCACCCATGCCTGATGTGTTTTTTTGAGCCACCAGGTCCAGGATGTAACAACTTAAGTTGCCATATGGAATCCAGCTGCTTTATCCACTACACTGCTGGCAGAATCAAGAGTGTAAATCATTTTTGTAAATAGATTTTTTTAAAGCTAACGACCTTCTTATGCTTTTATTTAATTCTGATGATATAGCTATTTATTTGTGGCCATTTTGGTGCATTTTGGGAAGAAAAGGAGGTTGCTAGATTAGCATAATATACTATCTTGAAAGTGAAAGCCCCAGTGTGCTGTTAAAACTTTGGCATCATAGAATTTGAGAGTTGAGGGACCAGCAGATGGTGTAATGGTTACTTTGCTGGACTCCTACGTAGTTGACCACAGTTTGAGTCCCAAACATGGTGACTTAAAACTTACGCCATGAACATGTGCATGCATGCCCAAAATCCCAAGAGGAGAATGGAGGAGAAGGGATTGTGGCATGGTCATCCCCCCTGGGGGGTGATTTCTCGCTTTCTGTCTTTCTCTCTGGTGAGTGCATGCACCCTATAACAAAAATCTCTTTCTCTCAAAAAAAAAAAAAGATTGTGATAGTTGAAGTCAACTTAAAGATCAAGTACAATGGTTTTCAATCAGGGAATATGTATGGTAGTTACCCATGGAGCCTTTGTTCCATCTCAGACATCTGGAATCTGAATTTTCAGAAATGGGGTTTAGAAATTATATGTTAGTAAAGCTCTGTAGGTGATTCTGATGTTCGCCAGTGGTTAAGAACCACAATCTAGAGGCCTGCAGATGGTATGGTGGTTAAGGTGCTGGATTCCCACATGACTGACAGCAGTTCGAGTCCTGAACCTAGTGGCTTGAAAATCATACCAGACACATGAGCATTGTGTGCCCAAAATCCAGAGAGGAGAATGGAGTGAGAACAGATTATGGGGACCAGCAGTTGACATAATGGCTATATCACTGGACTCCCATATAGTCAACCGCGGTTCGCATCCCAGACCTGGTGGCTTAAAACTCACGCCGGGTGCGTGTGTGTGCGTGCCCAAGATCCCGAGAGGAGAACGGAGGAGAAGGGATTGCAGCGTGGCCATGCCCCCTAGGGGTTGATTTCTCGCTTTCTGTCTCTCTGTCTCTCTCTGTCTGGCGAGCGCACGCGCCCTATAGCAAAAACCTCTCCAAAAAAGAATTTTAAAAAAAGAAAAAAGAAAGGATTGTGGTGTCGGCATCATCCGCTGGGGGGGTGTAATTTCTTACTTTCCCTTTCTCTGTTTCTCTCTGCCAAGTATACATGCTCTATGGCAAAAACAAAAACAACAAAAAAACAACAAAAAAAGAAGCACAATCTAGACCTGCCATCTTTTTTACAAGATGAGAAAAGTGAGGGAGGCTTGAAGAGCTTACACTCAATACAATCCTAATTCTTGAGTCCTAAAAATCTTTCCATCATACTGCTCAGTATACAGTGCTGTAGAGAGGCATGAATAGACACAGATTTGGCTAAACTTTCAGAAAATGGGTCAAATTGAGTTTAACATTTTCATTGCAATCAAGCAGAATTTCTGTTTTGGTTATTTAAAGCACATACTCTATTTTTAATCGTTACGCAAAATCTAAAATTTTAAAGTTTAGTAATTTAATTTTTGACCTGAAGAAAATATGCTTTCTCATTCATTTAGTGAATGTTCCACCAAATAGACCGACTCCTTCAGACATGGCCATTGTCATGTATACCAGCGGTTCCACTGGCCGACCTAAGGGAGTAATGATGCATCATAGCAATTTGATAGCTGGAATGACAGGCCAGTGTGAAAGAATACCTGGATTGGGGTAAGAGAGACTCATCAGCTTTCTTCTTAGCAGCCAGAGCTCATTCATGTTTAGCATTCTTAAAATGTAGTCTGTTTTAAAATGATAACGTTATTGATGTTTCTAATTTAAAATGCTGTTTCATGGATGGTTAAAATATTTCTTTTCTTTTGTTTTAGACCAAAGGACACATATATTGGCTACTTGCCTTTGGCTCATGTGCTAGAATTGACAGCAGAGATATCTTGTTTTACCTATGGCTGTAGGATTGGATATTCTTCTCCACTGACACTGTCTGACCAGGTGACAAATTTTTCAGTATACTGACTTGATTGTATTAAGTTACGTTGTGCGGCTGACACCATATTATTAAAAGATAAGTAAATTAAGCTGACGTTTTCTCCTTGACTTATAAAACAGCTCCCATGGGCAATATACAGCTTTAATAACCCTGTGAATGTGTAAGCATTGCTTTATCTACATATTTTAAAAACAAGTTTCAAATGAGTGATTACTTTCATTTTGTCTTTCTCTATTAGATTTTTACTTTGGAGAGCTAAGACAAAATATAATAAATACACTGAGACTTTTTGAAATATTATCTGTGAGCATTGGTTGGTTTTCTTAGAGGAGATGTGGTGGTAGGGATTTGGCCCAGTTTTCCTGAGTTTTCTCTAGAGTTGTGCAATCCCAATATATATTAGCCACTAGCATCAGATTTACATAGAAATTAAAGTTAAATTTAAAAATTTGGTTTCTCATTTGCTTTAGCCACATTTCACATCCTCAAAGGCTATATATGACCAGTGCCTGCCATACTGGATAGCACAGATACAGAATATTTCCATCTTTGCTGAATGTTCTATCAGACAGCACTGCAACGTCTCCAAAGGCAGCCATCCATTTATTATTCTGAGCCTGGGTCTTCCCTTTTCTCTTGATTATAGCAGAAAGCCAAACAATGGCTAGGGACTAGCTCATCTCATGTATTTTATGCCCATTTGAAATCACACAGCTCTGCTTTATTTCTTCTTCAGCATAGTTGATATAGGAAAGCCTCAGCCATGCATAAGAGGAAAAAGCTATGAGGGGGCTGTGGAATTCAGGATGCTGAAAGATAAAGCATGCATATATAGGAATGACTTGACTCTGTGGTTATGTTACTACTGTCACTGCAGGCCACTGTTATTTTTCAGATCCCCAGGCAGTGCTGCCTTTTGTTTGGGCGTCTCCATCCAACATGTAGTTAGTAAGAATATATGGTGCTCACAGTTAGAAATTGTATTGTAATTTTTTTTTTTTTTTTTTTTTTTTGGTAGAGATACAACCACCTTTTTTTTTTTTTTTCTCTAATTTTTGCTATAGGGCGTGTGTGCTTGCTGGGGTGAGACAGACAGAGATAGAGACAGAAGAAGAGGGAAAGTGAGAAATCACCCCATAGAGAGTAGCCATGCTGCAATCCCTTCTCCTCCATTCTCCTCTTGGGATTTTGGACATACACATATATATACATGCCTGGCATGTTTTTCCAGCCTCCGGGTCTGGGACTGGAACCACAGATCTAGCTGTCTTAACCACTACACCACCTGCTGACACCTTCCATTTTGTTTTTGATGTATTATAACTTGATGTACACAAATCTTAAATTTACTGCTTCTTCAAATTTAATATAAACCTATACACACAGACCTCTGTGATTATTATCATCGATAACAGATCAAGAAAAGAACATTTCGGTACCCCAAAATGTCCCTCCTAGTCAATACTACCCCATAAGGTTAATCCAATTTCCTTTTAAAGTGACCTTTTCTGTTAGAAAGGATTCTGTTTCAAGCACCTACCATCTTTGTGCTTAAGGAATACAAACTCTTTGTAAGATGGGTGCTGCTATATTTATTAGGTCATCGGGAAGATCATGATGTATTTTTCTGTTTTTCTATGCAAAAATGCGTCATGATTTTCCCGATGACCCAATAATTATATCACTCAGCTAAAAGTCCATGTTTAAAATCTGCTAAAATAGTAATGGAGAGAATAAGCAAACTATCAAATAAACTAATAAACAGTGCTTGATGTAGCAAAGTCAGAATAGACCCATGGATAGAGTAGGGCTTAAATTGTTATTTATTTATTTTTTTTTTAGAAAAATCTATAATGATTATGTTTTGGCCATTGTAGTGACTTTTTCTTATGTTCAGAGATGTGATCAAAATATGAAAAACATTTCGATAAACTTTGAGTATGATTCCACCCACACACACACATTGGGGAAGTTTAAAAGCAGGGTACTAGTATCTCTTTCTTTTCACTGCCTTTCCGAGAACAATAGGGTCATTGTGGGGAAGGAGGGACAGTTGGGAGTCTGTTGCTGGTCTGACTTAATTTTTTCTTCCTCTTAGGCCAAGCTAGTACATTAGAAGCCTGTTAAATAAAACTCACACCCACTTTTTAAATGAATTTTAAAGACTGTCAATCTTGCTAGGAATCTAACCCAAGAATCTCCCTTACATAGGAATCAGAAAAACGCAAGACTAGAGATACCACGTTCAAAGCCAGCAGAGGATAGCAGTGCTGTCATAACTAGGGGTACTGTGATCTTAGTAAGAGAGAAGTGATGATATTACTAAGAGTGAGAAAGAATACAAAGAAGGGCTCTTGTGGTTCCTGCTACCCTGAAACTGCTCTGGGTTGCAAAAACTGATCATTAGCATGAACAGGGGATCTCAAGTTTGATGGACATTAGAGCCTATTTTTTTCTCTACAGAGCAGCCCTCCTATGCATGTGTGGTTTTCCACTTGCAAATTGGCACATACATAAAACACAGGAGTTATTTTTATCTCCTTTGTCTATATTAAAGAAAAGTAGGAGAAAAGCAATTTCATTCTACCAGAAGAACCTTCTGTATGGTCAAGCTTCTTAAGAACAAGTTGTCTTTTCCGTAAAGTTTATGATCACTCCCCACCCCCAGGGGGATGACTGTGCCTCAGTCTCTTCTTCAGTCTCCTCTCCAGATTTTGTACACTTACAGACTAATGAACTGCGGGACAGCACATTCTTTTTATCTACTTTTTTCAACTGGGTTACTTTATCAGTTGTGCTATCTACTTATTGGACATTTGAAATCCCAAATGATATTTATATTTTAAAAAGAAAGCCAAAATGAATGTGTATACACTTGTGATTAAATGTGTATATCCTTATTTGGTTACCAGTAGTGTTGGTATCCTGCCAACCAGAATATTCTCAAACTAGGATTTCTGTATGATACTTATTGATTCTTATAGCAGTGACTTTGTGCCTACTGATTAATTGGAAAAAAAAACAACAACTAAAAATACCTTCATTTTTGTTGTAGTGTCAGTGCTTTAATCAAGCTTTTATTTATTTATTTATTTAAAAATTTAACAATAGTCTGTACAAAGGATCCCCAATCCCTGGTCTGTGACCTGTTGTCCTGCCCTACTTACTATGCAGTGAGGGATAGGTGGTGAAATAGTGGGTGGTGAATAACTGAGGCTTTGTGTTTTTAGCCACTCGCCATTATTTGCATTGCCACCTGGACTCTGCCTCCTGGCAGATTAGTGGTGGTATTGGATTCTGTCTGGAACAGGAAACCCTAGTGTTGTCGGATTGTTTAATTGTATATTACAATGTGGGTGTAGTGGAATTACCCACCCTGTCTTATACCGTTTTCTAGTATCTTCAGTTACCCTTCTTGCTATTACACTTTCCAATCTTTCAGCTTCTGTCATAGAGTGCAGACATCTAATATATATTACGTTGGGACATACAATACCTATCTTTCTTTTTTGGGGCAGGGGGGACAGGTTTTTGCTATAGGGCACATGTGGTTGCCAAAAAGACAGAGAGAGATAGAAAGCAAGAAATTACCCCCCCGGGGGGATGGCCACGCCACGATCTTTTTTCCTCCATTCTCCTCTTGGAATCTTGGGCATGCACATACATATGTCCAGTGTGAGTTTCAAGCCTTTGGATCTGGGACTCAAACCACAGTCAGCCATTTGGGAGTCCAGTGACATAAACATTATGCCATCTGCTGGTCCCTGATGATACCTGATTAATAAGAATGTTTGATTCACCCAGTTATCCCACTCTCGTTTTATCTTGGATCAGAGTTTCTTCTCTAGGAAAGACTGAAATATGCTAGAATAGTTAATGTTCAGGATAAAACACTAAATCACTTCCACTTCATACTTTCAGGTTATGATATAATAGCTGTAACAGGTAACTTCCATAGCAGTATGAGGCAGAGTTCCCTGTTTTACTTTGGTCTTTGCTTTGTATACTCAAATGACTTTTTTTTTTTTTTTTTTTGCTAAAGATTGTTCCCTGATTGTATTTACTTTTTCTTTAATGTAGTCCAGCAAAATTAAAAAAGGAAGCAAAGGAGACTGTACTGTACTGAAACCTACACTTATGGCTGCTGTTCCGGGGAGTACAGAAGACGATCATTTATGTTATTTATTGCTTACACTCAGACTTTTATTTTATTTATTTATGAACAGAAGACAATCACTTATGTTATTTATTGCTTACACTCAGACTTTTATTTATTAACTTTTTAAGTTTTTGCCATTGAGTGCATACACTTACCAGAGAGGGACAGACAGAAAGTAAGAAATCACCCCCGTGCATACACTTACCAGAGAGGGACAGACAGAAAGTAAGAAATCCCCCCCCCCCCGGGGGGATAACCTTACTGAGACCCATTCTCTACTCTCCCCTCAGGATTGTGGGCATACGTGCACATGTACCTGGTATGTTTTCAGTCATTTTAACTTCTAATTACAGTTACCAAATAAGCAAAGAATTAGAACAGGTCAGAGAAACTTTTGACTTTTTATTTAGAGGCACTATAGAATCCCATCAAGTTTTCAAATAAAAGACGAGACTTCTGCTTAAAAACACAATAAAATGATGCAAATATTGGTAGCATAGTGTTTACTAAATTCTAGGCAGTGTGCTAAGTGCCTTAGATGGATGATTTTATTTAATCCTCTTGAAGACTTCTTGTTAGACCCTATAGTTTCCATCTTCCAAAAAAGCAAAGTTGCCCAAAATCATGCAACTCATACATTTGATTTTAGCTCATAAAATCAAAGCTTGAACTTTACCAGTCTGATATCAAAGTTGTTTTATCCATGTGGCTATCTATTTAGGACTGCTTTATGTTGTTGTTTTATTTGGGGAAACAATAAATTGACTTTATTACCTAAGGTACAAGACTCTCCCGAGAAGACTATCAGAGAATGTAATTAGGGAAGGAGAACGACTGAGGCATTAAGGAAATAATCTCAGATTTTTAGGCCTGAAGGATTAACAGGAGTTAGCAGATAGACTGTATATTCTCTCTCTCTCTCTCTTTTTTTTTTTTGAGAGAGTTTTGCCAAAGGATGCATACACTTGTTGGAGAGACAAAGACACAGAGAAACAGAAAGCGAGAAATCACACCTCTGCCCCCTGGTGGAGGGGATGGCCACACTAGAATTCCTTCGCTTCCATTTTCCTCTCAGGACTTTGGGGCATTTTCCTCCATTCTCCTCTTGGAATCTTGGGCATGCACATACATATGTCCAGTGTGAGTTTCAAGCCTTTGGATCTGGGACTCAAACCACAGTCAGCCATTTGGGAGTCCAGTGACATAAACATTATGCCATCTGCTGGTCCCTGATGATACCTGATTAATAAGAATGTTTGATTCACCCAGTTATCCCACTCTCGTTTTATCTTGGATCAGAGTTTCTTCTCTAGGAAAGACTGAAATATGCTAGAATAGTTAATGTTCAGGATAAAACACTAAATCACTTCCACTTCATACTTTCAGGTTATGATATAATAGCTGTAACAGGTAACTTCCATAGCAGTATGAGGCAGAGTTCCCTGTTTTACTTTGGTCTTTGCTTTGTATACTCAAATGACTTTTTTTTTTTTTTTTTTTGCTAAAGATTGTTCCCTGATTGTATTTACTTTTTCTTTAATGTAGTCCAGCAAAATTAAAAAAGGAAGCAAAGGAGACTGTACTGTACTGAAACCTACACTTATGGCTGCTGTTCCGGTGAGTACAGAAGACGATCATTTATGTTATTTATTGCTTACACTCAGACTTTTATTTTATTTATTTATGAACAGAAGACAATCACTTATGTTATTTATTGCTTACACTCAGACTTTTATTTATTAACTTTTTAAGTTTTTGCCATTGAGTGCATACACTTACCAGAGAGGGACAGACAGAAAGTAAGAAATCACCCCCCCCCCCGGGGGGATAACCTTACTGAGACCCATTCTCTACTCTCCCCTCAGGATTGTGGGCATACGTGCACATGTACCTGGTATGTTTTCAGTCATTTTAACTTCTAATTACAGTTACCAAATAAGCAAAGAATTAGAACAGGTCAGAGAAACTTTTGACTTTTTATTTAGAGGCACTATAGAATCCCATCAAGTTTTCAAATAAAAGACGAGACTTCTGCTTAAAAACACAATAAAATGATGCAAATATTGGTAGCATAGTGTTTACTAAATTCTAGGCAGTGTGCTAAGTGCCTTAGATGGATGATTTTATTTAATCCTCTTGAAGACTTCTTGTTAGACCCTATAGTTTCCATCTTCCAAAAAAGCAAAGTTGCCCAAAATCATGCAACTCATACATTTGATTTTAGCTCATAAAATCAAAGCTTGAACTTTACCAGTCTGATATCAAAGTTGTTTTATCCATGTGGCTATCTATTTAGGACTGCTTTATGTTGTTGTTTTATTTGGGGAAACAATAAATTGACTTTATTACCTAAGGTACAAGACTCTCCCGAGAAGACTATCAGAGAATGTAATTAGGGAAGGAGAACGACTGAGGCATTAAGGAAATAATCTCAGATTTTTAGGCCTGAAGGATTAACAGGAGTTAGCAGATAGACTGTATATTCTCTCTCTCTCTCTCTTTTTTTTTTTTGAGAGAGTTTTGCCAAAGGATGCATACACTTGTTGGAGAGACAAAGACACAGAGAAACAGAAAGCGAGAAATCACACCTCTGCCCCCTGGTGGAGGGGATGGCCACACTAGAATTCCTTCGCTTCCATTTTCCTCTCAGGACTTTGGGGCATGTATGCATGCACATGTTCCTGGCATGAATTGCAAGTCACTGGGTCTAGGACTTGAACCACAGTCAAACATATGGGAGTCTGGTGTCTTAACCATTATGCCACCTGCTGGCCCTGGCTATTTATTCTCTAATTGCCTGTTGCCCATTCTTGCTTTGTGTCTTGGGAGGCTAACTTTTATGGATTAATAGCCAAGGTTTCCTTGCTTTGTGATTTCTGGTTGAGTTCAACCAATTGAAGATACGAGAAATCAATGAGAGATCAGAGGTGAGGAGAGACAGTCCTCATGATTACTACCTTCATTCATTTTCCTGCTGGGCTCTGAGCTCTGGCAGTTCTCGGATGCCTATTGCACAGTATCTTCCCCATGGATTAACTAGATGTTTCCCATGGTCACAGTCTTCATCCAGGTTCCAGTGGTAATTTCTCTCTATTTCTTCAGATCTAGGGCTAGTAAATTAAATGGTCTTCCTGTGTTGCTAGTGCATTGGGACTTTACATAGCCTTGTTGATTCCCTTAACTTCTCCTATTTCTCTACAGATATCTTTTTTTTTTCTTTTTTTAGGAGGAAGGAATTTTTGCTATAGGGCATATGCACTTGCCAGAAAGACAGAGAGACAGAAAGTGAGAAATCACCCC